GTAGTGCTTAAAAGCTTGGCTGCTAACCAGGAGGTCAGCAGTTCGAATCCACCAGCCGCTCCTTGGAAACCTTATAGGGCAGTTCTATTCTGTCCTATAGGGTCGCTTTGAGTCAGAATCGACTCGACGGCAACAAAGTTGTTGTTTTTTTTTTTTTTTTAGTTTATACTAACTTTTACCTATTTTATCTAATATAATCTTCAAAATAACCCTACCAGGTAGCAGTATTATTAACCCAGTTTTGCAAATAAGGTAATAAAGATGTTAACAAATTGCTCATGTATACAACTAGGAGGTTGGGGAGCCAACATTTAAACTTAGTAATCTGAGTTTGGACCACAAAAGTTAACCTCCTAATCCTCCTACTTTCATTGGACTGTTGTTTTAGGAATTTACTGACAAAACAATGCGTAGAGTTAAGGAACATAATGTTCCTAAAGCAAGACATGGACATTGCCGAGCAACTAGAGTTAAGAAAAAAAAAACCCACAGAAGAAAGGTCATCCAGAGATGTGGTGAGGCGTTCTCATCAGTTTCTTAGTGAAGCGGAGCTGGGGACTGACAGCACTGATTCTGAGTTAGTGTATTGTTTTCTAGGTGGAATAGAGTAAGCTTTCATCACAGCAAACCCGTTAGTTGTTTTCACTGAATTCCAAAATAAAAAAAAATTACCTTTAGTATAATTATTACACATACATTTGAAATAGTCCCACCTCATCTAACCGAAAGAATAAGATCTGGGTGATGTCCTGAAGGAGCAAAACTAGGGAAGCAGCATCCCTGTCTTAATAAAGCTTTTTGGTTTCTTGGTCTATGATACTCTACCAAACAAGAAAAAAAGAAAAAAACCTCGTTGCAGTCAAGTCTATTCTGACTCATGGCGACCCGAGTGTTACAGACTAGAACTGCTCCACAGGGTTTTCTTGGCTGTGATCTTTACAAAAGCAGATTTCCAGGCCTTTCTTCTGCAGTACTGCTGGGTGAGTTTGAATCACCAACCTTAAGGTTAGTAGTTGAGTGTAAACTGCTTGTACCACCACAGACCTTTTACAAAGACTCTGAAATTGCCACACTTACCACAAGACAATGTAGGAAATGACTGACTTATGTCTAAGCATTAAGGAGAGGGAAAACTCAGAAAGGGTATCATTTACCTGTCTCGAACTTCTAGGTAGTTACTAAATATACAGAGATCAACTATCCATTGCATGAATGGTAAATGTTAAGAATGGACCCAATTAGTCTTTTTTCTTTTTTTAATTAAGAAATATATATTATATTCACAGGAAAAAAATGAAGTTTGAAAATTATATTTCTGTTTTACTTTACATTTGTATTTTCATGTATGGAATTATAATTATAATTCATAATGAGGAAAGAATCCATCATTTATTGTATTTTAAAATGGAGAAGCAAGTAAAAATATTATCCTGATGTGCTAACTAGATGATTTCTAAATAAATGAATGCTGAAATGAACTTTATCTAAGAAAGCAGATATCACTTTATTCTCTTGAATGAAGGTTGAATTGTGTCTTCCAAAAATGTGTGTCAACTTGGCTAAGTCATGATTCCCAGTATTGTGTGATTGTCCACCATTTTGTCATCTGATGTGATTTTCCT